CTTCCACGGTGACATACTGAATGAGTTTGGACTGTCAATTTTTGAAATAAATACGATATTGCCACGATAATTTAAGTGTATATCTATACTTCTACAAATCTATAGATAAATTGTGTATTTTAAAATTAAAATAAGGGGTAGAACACAAATTGGCAATATGCTTATATGGGAAAACTCCACAACATTATTAACCGGTTAGGCTAGCAACATAAGCGGATTATCCTAAATTCATTTTCATTTTTTTTAACGTATTTTTATTGACGAAGCTCAAAACTTTCAATCGTAATCAGTTTTTGTGCTTTTGTATAAATAATATTCAATAAATTATGTACAAAACTGTACTGTGACAAACAAAAAAATAGGTAAATATTCCATACACTAACTTGTGTTATTTTTGCGAATTTTAGTTTATTTGTTTGGTAATCCCCTTGAACGGACGATTTTACTTTTTTATTTAACGAAATATGTCAAATATATTACATTTTTTTTTATTTTCTGATCAGTCGACATAAAAATTAATAAACTGAGTCGGGATTGGTATTTAATATGGTGAAAAAGCATTATTAATTTGAATATTCAAATATGTTTCATGCTAACTGATCCTCTTTTAATTGTGTTTGATTAATTTATAACAAAAATTATTTGTTTATTTATAATTAATATATTTTGATTTTGAGCTTTTTAGATTTAATTTTATAACAAACATATACAAGCTCGAATGAACTATTGTAGAAGAGCTAAATAGTAATTCTTTTTCAATTTTCTTAATCTAATGAAATATCTATAACCAGTTCCTTGATCTTCATTATATCTGTTGCTGCTTAGCACAGTAATTTTGTGCAATAGTCAGCATTGTTCGGAAAATATCTTCGTTTGTTTTATACAGGAATGGTTTTTGTACGCGGTTGTCATAAGATCTTTAAAAGAAAACATCCAGGTTATACCAAAAGATAGTGTAAAATTTCTACCTACTAATAACCTCCAAACGTTGAGAAAAGCATGGTGCCTATGTGGTAGTACGTCACATCTACTCTACCCTGTTTCCTTATACACTACAATAGTTACTCTGCGTTCTCCAGTATTCCTAATTGGTCTTCAGATCCTCCAAAACCTTCTACATTTTCTCAACAAATTGGGGTATTTCGTATAGTATAATAGAACAATATTATTTTTAGACGAGAATTTTCTCCTTTCTCAGTCTGACTAACACAGTTTGACTCACTTTTTCGCCTCTTATTAAAATGTATTCCCGATATCTTCAACTTACAACATATATTTCTCTTATATTTGCCATTAGCGCAAGGTACAATTTCTTGGACATATAATGCGAAACGATCATAGATATAACCTGCTGCAACTTATATTACAAAGAAAGGTCTACTTATATTAATTATGATATTAGTTATATAACTTATATTACAAGGAATATCTTGGCTCCAAAACTTAAGAAAATTGTTTTCCTTGACCACTTTAGGACTATTTCAAGCTGCGGTCAATAAAATTAGAATTGCCATGCTAGTAGCCAACATTTGTAACGAATAGGCACCACAAGAAGAGAAGAGATATTTGCCATTTGATCAGCTGTCTTTTCCTCCTTTTCCTTGATCACTACACGGACTTAGTTGTGTACACTACTTCAACTTGCTTTATGTTCAATCTGTCTTTCAATTATTTCTTTCATTGTCACAATAACCTCTTACTCTTTCCATTCTACTTCTTTCTACTGGCCATCTATTGCACTCCAGTAAGCCCTTAAACATCTGTATCCTGTGAGCACCTGCGTTAGAAAATAATCCAGTCATTTTTACCTACAATCCACCCAATCTCTTATATGGGATCAGCATATTTGTCACGTCTTATCATGTTTTATTTTTCTCACCAGTTTTATATTGACCTTTCCCTTCTTTATCATCTCTTAGCCATAGTATGTCCTAGAGTTCTTTTATCATATAGCTCTTTTCTTTTTACTGCCAATACATGCAGAGGAACGTATTTAGTGATTGAACACAAGACAACTGCAAACACAGTCCTGTCACTTGCAGCGGACTTTTTCTGTACACTTGCGTCAACAGTCTCCTGTAGACCGATATCTCTGCCGCCCCATTCCAGACCAGTGCTGCTTATCCTAAGCTTTCTAATTTTGTCATCGAATCGATGTGACCTATAGACTTTTCTTCATAATTTACTGTCACTCTATCTATCTAAGAAATGGCATTTGCGCCACATGTATTTTTTGTTCTTCTTTCTTTTTAACTGGTCATACTGCTTTGCTTTTTCATATATGGACAAATTATTTTATTAAAAAGAAAAAAGATAACTTAAGTACATTTTGACGAGTTTATAGGAAAAAAAAATAAAAGTGCTTTATTAAAAGGTCATCTCTCCGATTTTCTATCCGTAAAACATGGAGTTCCACAAGGTTCGGTTTTAGGAGTCTTTTATTTATTATTTATATCAAAGATTTGCCTAAATTCATATCTTCGTACAAAATCATACAATTCGCAGATGATGCGACATACTTTATATCGGGAAAAAATAATGATGATTTAAAAATGTCTCATGAGATAGTTTCAACTAAATCTGGCTCATGCTACATGCTACAAACAAACTAAAACTAAACTCTGATAAAACGCAAAATTTGGTTATATCTGCAAGTAATTAACACAATTATCCAGATAACAAAGAGACTGTTAAACTGTTGGAAATAACCATTGATAATCTAGTCTACTAGTCAGATGAAAAACTATTAAGTTCATTATTTGGTATTCGCCAACTAGCAAGGGTTGTCAACATTAAAACAATAATATTGTTTTATTTTTTTTATTCCGCTTTCACCTAAACTATGGTGTAACCTTATGGAGCAATTCACTCTTTTTAATAAATTTGCAAATTTACCATCTGCTGTTACAAGCTATTGAACCTGGAACCTGGAACCTGGAATGAACCTGGCGGACACTCAACCGCATGCGCACAGGTGTTGCCCCTGTAAAACAGAACCTCATTAAATGGGGCATCAAGACAGATAGCGAGGCACTCTGTGAATGTGGGGAAATACAGAACGTGGAGCACCTGAGAGTATGCAGACTTTGCCCATCGCAGTGTATCCTCGATGACTTATGGCTCGCAAATACAAAGGCTGTAGACGTAGCCCGATATTGGACAGAAAAACTGTAGTCGGATCCAGACTCGAAAAAGTAAAGTAGTAAATATGATTATTGCAAATACATGAGAGGAGAAATAATCCACTGGTAACACTCCAATATTAACACTAACAAATTAAATTAATGTAGGATTATAATTTAAAACTAAAATTAAAATGAGAAATAAATTAAAATTGAAATTAGTGAATAAAGTCTGTTGGCCACTGTCTCTTCAATCGTCGTCTGACTTCTGGTTGGAGGTGTAGTTGTCTTGTTTCCTCGTTGGGGTGGGCTGGCAGATTTTTCTTAATAATTTCTTGTTTTTCAGTGTTTTATTACTAACATACCACGGCGCGTAGAAAATCATCCTAAGTATTATTAATTGGATTCTCTGAATGATTTTGGTATTAGAAGGTTTTGCACAGCCCCATAGTTGCACTCCATATGTCCATATAGGCTTTAATATGCACTTATACAAGAAAAGTTTATTATCTTTAGATAACTGTGATTTTCAGCATATTAGCCAATTTATTTCTCGTATTTTCATGTTGATTTGAATTTTTTGCCAAGATGTGTGCTTTCCAGGTAAGAACATGACTACTGTGGTCGTATTTGTTGTTGGTATATCAGGATATACCTGAGGTACAGGAGGGGACCCAAGACACTTCCTTGAGGGACACCGGATTTTATGGGATAGTAATGAGAGGTTTCTGTAAGGAATTTGACTTGAAAGTAACGTTCTGTGAGGTATGATTTTAAAAGAAGATAGTGAGGGGTAAGAAAGGATGACTTAAGTTTATATAGGAGGCCGTCATGCCAAACACGGTCGAAGGCTTGTTCTATATCCAGGAAGGCAGTAGTGCATTTTTTTTTTCTTTTCGAAGTATACATTAATGTTTCTATCAATCCTATTTATTAACAATATGTGGTAATTTATTCGGTTTACTAATCATAATTATTTGTGCGAACTTCCAATTAATCGGATAGTAGGCTAATCTTATGATACTATTATATATCATTGTTAGTAGGACAATTGCTTTTCTCGGTAGTGTTTTTAATATAAGCCCTGTGATCATGTCGAAGCCTGGTGCTTTGTAGTTATTGCAACTACAAATATTGATACCTTTTCTTGTTCAGTTTTTCCCCAGCCCCCATCAGGTTTCCTTAGAGGTGGTTTTAGAATCAACAAGAAAGTTGTCAGAATTTTAGTAGGGGTTAGTTATCTAGAACACTATATAATTCAAAATTATGCCGCTACCTACTCTGTTGATATTTCAAGTTCTAACTGAAAGTCACAGAAAACGTTCCCATTTAATAGAGCAATCTGATGTCCATGTTCACAATACGCGAAACTGTCAGTACCTACGAATAAATCGCTGTAGGTTGTCTTTCAGAAAAAAATTGTTTTAGTTATAACTATTACAATATTTTACCAAAAAGTATTAAACAGCTACGCTGTAATAGTTTCAATAAAGTTATAAGAAATCTTCTAAAACATTGTTTTTACTGCTCAGAAGACTATATGACTTATTGCAGAACATCCAGTTAACTGCTTACCGTAACTTTGCCATAAATCTTTTTCTGTTTAATATATGTGTTCTTGTTTTTATATTTAAATTACGTTTTATATTCCTTTTTTATATATTTTATGTATCTTTTTTGAATTGCTACAAACAATATTTGTATCTATAGTGTAGTTAAATTAATTCTCTACACTACTCTACTATCGGTAAGGTGGAAATCTCTGAAAGTTATGCTGAAAACTAAAAGTGAATTATTATTTTTAAAATTTTTCATAATATTACTATTAACATCTTAATATTTAACTCAAAAGTCCTAATTTATATATTTTTGTTTCAGAAATACCCGACAACATAAAAATTCATAAACGAGGAGACCCAGCACCTCTTCCGAATGCTACTGTCATCGGTCCTATGGAAGAAGGTGACGAACTTGACTTGATCTGTGAAGCAACTGGCGGCAAGCCCACCCCAATGGTGAGATGGTTTAATGGTAGCACCGAAATCAGTCGAGGTAAGTGTTGAGATTTGTTTATCAATTAAAAAAATGAAATACAAGAATGATATTTGATATCTTACGATACTTCTGGACTTAGACTTAAATTTTTCGTCTGGTACCTTGTGAGTTTCTGATCATATGTGTGCCTTTGTGTAAATATTGCTGTAAGATCTTGAGAATTTGATCATTATTGTCCAAATTGTAAATATACATTTATAAGTATTTTTAAAAGAAAGATTGCTACAGTACGAGATCATACTGCGAGATCACGCATTGTTAATAGGTTGTCAATCAAAAAGTGTCTGCAACTAGTTTAAAGTTAATTGATGGTAATTAACTTTTGAACAAAAATTAAAAAAAAAAAAAAATAAATGAGAGCTAAGGCTTAACGCCACTATTTTAACATGGCTAAAGTCAGTTGTGTGTGTGAGTTTTGCATGTGTCGATAGATAGTGTTAATATACATATTATCACTTGTCACCCTTTATACCATACTATCACTTATCACTGTGAAGAAGCTATGAAGGTGTAACGATAAGACTACCAAAGAGAATTAAGGTACTATTGTAAAAATAATACCTTAATTAACAATGGGAGCTTATCGTCTATGCCTTGCCTAGCTCAGTATCTCAAGTGTGAGTTCGTCTTGTCTTAAACTAGGAATTGAACCTGAACCCTCAGCTGATAGCAAATAAAACAAATTTTAAACAATCATATTTATTTAAAAAAATAAAAAACAATAATCACCCCTGCCAATGCTTAACAATGAATTAGTGAGGATGATACCTATGGCATCGATAACTTTAATAGGTTGCTTGTGTGCCCTTTCAATTAGATGTTATGTCCTCCGGAGAGCTGCAGTTGTAACATGTGGGTGTAGCCTTCCAATTAAGTGATTAATAAATTTTCATAATACCGCCAATTCATCCAGCCAATAAACCGTGAATATGGTTTATAAAATCGTCAATAAACTTTAATGTGGTCAATAAACTAAAAATCTAACAACGACTTGTATTAGAGACACATTAAAATGTGTTTAACTTTCTTGTCATTTTCTTCTTCTTCATGTGCCTTGTCCGTTCCGAACGTTGGTAGTCAACATGGCTATTATGACTTTGTTTACGGCAGATCTGAATAGTTCAGCAGATGCCAATCCGAACCATTGCTGCAAGTTTTGGAGCCACGAGTGTCCTCTCCTCCCTGGACTTCTTCTGCTGTCTATTCTCCCTTGAACGATCAGCTGTAGTACTCTATATTTATTATGTCTCATAACGTGACCCAAGTATTCCAACTTTCTTTTCTTTATACTTATTCCTACCTCTCTCTCTTTACCTATCCGGCGTAGTACCTCTTCGTTGGTCACGTGCTCAGTCCAGGATATACGTAATATACGTCGGTAAGCCCACATTTCGAAGGCCTCTACTTTTTTTATCAATATTGCGGTCATTGTCCACGCCTCCATTCCATATAAAAAAACCGGGAATACATAACATTTCAGAAGTCGAATTTTTAAAAGTTGGGGGGTGGGGTGAGGCTTCTAGAGGTGAAAATTTGCTTCATGGTAGTGAACGATGCGCTTGCCTTTTCTACTCTTATACGTATTTCCTTCGCTTGATCCCAATTTGAGTTAACTGTTGTTCCCAAGTAGATGTACGAATCCACGTGTTCAATTTTTTCATTGTCTAATATCAGTTGCTGTGGTGGTTGTTGGGTTTTGCTTACTAACATCTATTTGGTTTTTGTGATATTTAGTCTGAGTCCGTATTGTGCACTTGTTTTTTGTATCTTACTCATTAGGCAACTTAATTCCTCCATGTTACTTGCTAGAATCACAGTGTCATCAGCATACCTTATGTTATTAACTATTTCTCCATTTATCTTTATGCCTTCTGTGCTTTCCTCCAGCGCTGTCTTAAATACTTCTTCTGAGTATATATTAAAGAGAATTGGAGACAAGATACAGCCCTGTCGTACCCCTTTCTTGATCTCAATTTTATTGGTTAATGTATATCCTACTTTTACTTTAGCTGTTTGACCCCAATAGAGACTCGCTATTGTTCGAATGTCTCTGTAGTCGACTCCGATCTTATGGAGAACTTCAATTATCTTTTCGTGCTTTATCTTATCGAATGCTTTTGCGTAGTCTATAAAAAATATATACACGTCTTTGTTCATATCTCTGCAGCGCTGGATGAGTACCTGTAGACTAAAAAGTGCTTCTCTTATCCCAAGAGAATTCCGCAACCCAAACTGCGAATCTTCAATGTTATCCTCGCATTTTTTGCTTATCCTTTAGTAAATAACTTTGGTGTATGCCTTCGAAATGTGGTTAATTAGACTTATCATCCGATGTTGATCACAAGACTTTGCTTTTGGTTTTTTCGGTATGGCAACAAAAGTTGACTCTAGCCAGTCTTCAGGAAACTCCCCGCTGTTATAAATATTGTTAAAGAATTTTACCATTTTACAAAATTTATCTATCTATCTATAATTCTAGCCACAATTAATAAGAAGAAAGAAATTTGGATCTTAGGTGATCTTAATGCAAGAACCGGAAAAAGCTCCAACAGTGAAATAATAGGGAGATATGGAGAAGACATTCTGAACGACAATGGTCAAAGATTAATAGATTTTTGCGAGGCACATTCTTTGAAAATATTAAATGGTTTCTTCCCCCATAAGAATATACATAAATTTACATGGACGCAGCCTACCAAGAATTTAAAATCAATAATTGACTATTTCATTCATCGTAAAGATTCTAAACTAAAAACGAAGGACGTGAAGGTGTTTAGAGGGCCAGAATGTGGAAGTGACCACCATATGATAATTGCAAAAGTAATCGTGACATTTAAGAAAGAACAATCAAGTCACAAAAATGATGAAGTAACAGACATAGGAACAACCATAGAAAACATAAAATATAACCTGGAAAGCTTTAAACAAGATTCGACAAAGTTCTTATATAAAATTAGAACAGCTCAGAAAATAAAAAATATAGAAACAAAGGACTTAGACCCCGAAAGTCTGTATGAGGTAATTAAAAAATATATTCATGAAGCGGCAAATGAAGCACTGGGAAAAGTTGAAAATCGGAAAAAAGGAAAACCTGAATGGTTGTCAACGGAACTAGAAGAGAAAGTTCTCAAGAAAAAACAAGCATATCACATATGGCTTCAATCCAAAGATCCTCAAGACAGAGAAATATACGCTAAATGGAATAGAGAAGTTAAAAAAGACGTGGATAAGGCGAAAAATATAAACTGGGAGGCTAAGTGTGATGAACTGGACAGATTTATGGGTGGAACAAAAGTGGCGCAAGCTTGGAAAACATTAAAACAGTTTAGGAAAAATGAGAAAAATGAAGACAACATTTCTCTCATAAAGTTAAATGAATGGGAAGAATATTATACGAAACTGCTGAAAGAGGATAGAGTAGAGTACAGATGGGAAAACATAAGGGAATTAATAGACAACAGAGACGAAAGACAGGAAATCCCTATAATAACATTATCTGAATTGACGGAAAACTTAAAAGAGGTTAAAAACGGAAAAGCCGCAGGGCCTGGAGACATTCCCATAGAGCTGGTTAAATATGGGCCGACTGCACTTTTAGAATTAATAGTAGACCTTTTCAATAAATGTATGTGTGGAGACCAGGAAATTCCTAAAGATTGGAATAAATCTTATATAAGCTCCATATATAAGAGAGGGAATAAAAGAGACTGTTCCAATTATAGAGGTATTAGTGTGACGAGCTCTGTGGGCCGGTTGTACGGCAGAATATTAAAGAAGAGGGTTGAAAGACAGATACAAGATATTGAAGAACAAAGCGGCTTTCGTACCGGGAGATCCTGCCTTGATAATATATTTATCCTACGACAAATAATTGAAAAGCGTGTCGAAAGAAGTAGAGAGACCCATTTGATATTTATAGACCTTGAGAAAGCATATGATAGTGTCCCGTTAAAGAAAATGTTTGAGGTCCTCAAAAGGTCCGGATTGGATTCGACGTATATCCGAGCGATATATAAATTGTACGAAAATGCAGTTAGTTGTGTAAAAATTGGAACCAGAACCTCAAATGAATTTAAAGTCACTAAAGGCCTAAAGCAAGGATGCTGTTTGTCACCGACACTCTTTAAAATATACGTCCAAGAAGCATTGAGGAATTGGAGAAATAAATGTAGATTTATGGGCATCGAAGTGGGACAAGAAACTCTGTATACATTGTTGTTTGCAGATGATCAGGTGGTGGTTGCAACCGATGAGGAAGATATAAATTATATGAATCGAAAATTATTTGAGGAATATGCCAAATGGGGGCTTACTGTAAACATAAGCAAAACAGAATATCTAAAAATTGGAGGAAATACCACAGATCTGAGGCTTGAAAACGCAGTCATAAAAGGCTGCAACCAGTATAAATATCTAGGAAGCATCATATCAGCAGATGGCAGAGTTAAGATAGATGTACAAAACCGAATAACCCAAGGGAAAAAATGCATCCGAATACTGAATTCATTACTGTGGTCTAATAAAATAAATATGCATACCAAACTTCGCGTATACAGAGCAATTGTAGAACCAATTACCACATATGGTGCCGAATGTTGGACGATGACAAAGAATGAACGAGATAAATTAGACGTTGTGGAAATGGATTATCTTAGAAGGTCATATCGAGTATCGAGAATGGAAAGAATTAGGAATGAGGAAATACGAAACCGTACAGGAATTAGAGATACTCTCTCAGATAGAATACAAGGAAGGCAATTACAATGGTATGGTCACGTGATGAGAATGGAGGAGGAGCGGTGGCCAAAGAAAGCCTTAATGTATGTTCCGCCAGAAAGAAGGAAAAGGGGAAGACCACCAAATTCCTGGAGAAGAGAAATTACAAAAACAATGCAATCTAGAGGCTTAGAAGAGGGAGATTGGAGAGATAGGAAAAGATGGAGGCTGAAATGCGGGAAGCGGCAACCGCCGTAGGACCCCCGTTATATGATGATGAC